CCTCAGGGAGGGTGCAGCCACTGCCTGACTTTCATGAACTCTTCTGCTTCTGCAGTACGACCCACAGTTCGGAGATGCCTTTTGGAACAGCAGCAAATACGGGATGGTGACCTACCTCCTCAGGATGATGACCAGCTGGGCCATTGTCTGCAGCGTCTGGTACTTGCCCCCAATGACCAGACAGGTACGTAAGGTGAACCTGGCCTATCTCACCTCCTTCCTCTTTGGCCCCTTGCTGCTGCTGAGCTGTCTGACTTTGCCACAGCCTGAAGAGGACGCAGTGCAGTTTGCCAATCGAGTGAAGTCAGCCATTGCCAGGCAGGGGGGCCTCGTGGATCTGCTCTGGTGAGTCCAGGCAGGCTTTTCTCTTCCTGGTGACAGTTCCCTGTTCCTGGGTTCTGGCATGTGCTCCTGGGCTGTAGAGCTCCGTTTGTGTCTTGCATGGGGCAGAGCAGGCCTTGGGGGAATGCTCTTCTTAGCAGGGACTAAAGTCTTTGTTGCTGCTGTGCACATGTTGAGCACCAGGGCTTCATTCTGTGACTGCAGCTGGCAGTGGGATGTGCTGGGTCTGACTCATTTCTGCTCAGCAAGGTGTGTTCAGCTTGGGAAGTTCCTTTCCCAGGCCCTGAGGAGGCAGAGGGGCTCTGCAGGGTCAGTCTCCTGCAGTGGTACCAGATGAGCTCACGTTGCTGGCAGAGCTGCCGTGTTGAGCACAGTGCAGGGCCGTGGGGGCAACTCCTGGCAGAACCCGGGGGGACAGTGACTGCCCTTGGGGAGAGGTGGCCTGCAGTGTGCCCTGGCAGCCTGTGGTTCAGGGGCAGCTGCTGGAACTCTGACCTGCCCTGAGCAGCCCCATCCGAAGGCAGTGCCTTTCTGCAGCCCCCCTGATCCGACTCTCTCCCCAGGGATGGAGGACTGAAGAGGGAGAAGGTGAAAGACGCCTTCAAGGAGGAGCAACAGAAACTCTACAGCAAAATGATTGTAGGTAACCATGAAGACCGGAGCCGCTCCTGATGCTGCTGCCTCCAGCACTGCCGAGGGGCTGCAGAGCCCTCTGCCTCCAGCACCAGCCAGGGCTTGTCTGGAGCAGCTCCAAACCTTTGGACTTGGGCCACTCCAGAGCTGCTTGGACTCACTCCTTCACCCTCTGGCTGTTCTCTCCCAGAGGCACTATTATTGCCTGGAGTCTTTAGGCCCTGGGCAGCTCGTGGCAAAGATGCCTTCTCATTTCTGTTACAGTGAAGCCCCGTGCAGGGGCAGTATTAAAAGAAACTCTTATGGTGTCGTGTGCTTCCATCTGGTGTATCCAGCCCCGGGGGAGGACTGGAATGATGTGCAGGGGTGTCAGTCACAAGTCTCCCACGGCACTGAAGCTGGTGAGCTGCGCTGGAATCGGCTGCCTTGACAACCAGGGGAGTCCTCCTGAGCCTCTCACGTGTGTGGCATAAACCCCTTAGGAGCAGAATGTGGTCTCTCAGGCTGTTTCCAGATCCACTTCCAGGAGAAATCTTTTCTTTTGCCGCTTTCCTGTCATAGCCTGACCCAGATTGTTGCTTCTCCAGTGTCTAACAGCCTCTTTGCTGCTCCTGATGCAGTGAGGATGATCCTCCCTGGAAGCCTCCCTGGACCTGGAGGGTGCCAGGTGTCACTGGTGGGGCTCTGTACATGCTCTAGTGGGAGCTTAGGGTGGGTAGGAGAGCCTGAGAATTCATGGCTGGGGCAGGAGATCCCCTTTCAAATATTTCCTGAGGGAAACAGTGGGATTTGACCTTGTCATGTGCCAGGATGCACATGGATAATCTCAGCTTGTTGCAGGAAAACTGGAATCTTGTGCGGAAGGTGGTGCCCCTTTCCCTTTCAGGTCTGCAAGTAAATTATTCAGTAAAACAATTTGCATTTGAGCATTCATCCCGTGTACTTTCCAATTTTCCTGAATTCCTACAAACCTTAGTACTTTCGCTGGGTTCTCTGCCTGCTCTTACAAGCAAAAGCTGTTTCACTACCTGCTGAAGCCTGCTTGCATTTCCCAGCACCCTGGAGAAGGCAATTACCTAAGTGCCTTTGTACCTCAGGTGTTTGTGGGGAGGGCATCTGCTCCCCCAGGTGAGGACAGTTGTTCCAAGTGGCCTTAAACTGGAATTTCCCTGTGCTTTTTTTTTCCCATTTGCCTGATGGAACTTTGCTGCTCTGGCTCCAAGGCTTGCAAAGCTTTTCCCTTGCTCGGAGGCCGTTTGGACAAACACCCCGACAGGGTCCTGTGGTCCAGCCAGCTCTGGAGGGAGTTCCAGTCTTGGAGAGCCACGGGGTGCCCAGGCACGGCCGTGCCCACCAGGAGCTGTGGATGCCCCTTCCCCAGGGGACACAGCCCTGAGCTGGGGACATGGACATTGCTGCCTGCCTGTCCCTGCTGCCCAGGCAGGGTCTCTGGGGTCTCCTTCACCCCTCCCCAGCCAGCAGCTGCTCCTGAGCACTCTCCAGGGCTGGGCATTGCCTTCAGGCCACGCAGATGCTGCTGCACAGTGTGGGCAGGGCTCTACCCAGGCCAGGCCTCCCACGCCCCCACTGTGACCCCCTGTAGGGACCCAGCTGCAGGTGCCCACAGGTCTCCTGCCCACAGCTGGGTGCCCTGTCCCTGAGGCCGTGGTGATGTGCAGAGCCCTCCCCAGCTCTGCAGGACCTCCACCGTGTTCGGGGACCGTCCCCAGCAGCATCCAGGCCTCTCGGCAGCAGGCAGGGAGCTGGACGGGTTAGGAGGCACACATCCATCTTTGCTCGGCTCTCCCACCCCATGCCCCCAGTCAATATGTCTCTCTCCGATGAGAAAGTTAATAAATTTAGCTCTAGATTAAAAGTATCGATCATTTCATTTGTAAGCGATAAATAACCGGGGGGGGAGCTCTGGGCGGCCGGCGGGGCAGGGGCTGCTGGCTCGGGCTGCAGCCGCCGCGCACCCCGCGGGGGCCCGGGGCTCTCATATGCATTCTGCCCGGATGCTGGCATTGATTTGCTATTAGTCTCCATGCACCACCCAGTAGCACATCATTCCCAGAGCCGCTATTAATGGCCTTTTGATAAATAATCACTTGTAAGTCAATAAATTTTTATTAAACAGTGTGGCGCTTTGATTTATGAAAATCCGACGGGGTTTGTCTGGGAGAAAAGGGATGCGGAATTGAAGCGGAGCTGCCATCCATCTGCCTGCCAGGCTGCCCTGCCTGTGCTCGCACCCCCGGCTCCCGGCTCTGCCTGCACAGCCAGGGGCTGCTCAGCGCCAGGCACGGGGTGGGCAGAGCTGTGGTCACTGCTGACCGCTCTGCTCACCCCATCGAGCCCCAGCGCTGCGGGGGCACCGCTCTGCTGGGCCACGGGAGCCACGGAGGGCAGGGGGGCAAGGAGAGGGGCTGGTCCTGGCCAGCGGGCTGGGCCCTGCTCGGAGCAGCACTGCCTGGGGTCCTGTCTGGCTGCAGGGATGCACGGGGCAGCCAGGCTGTGGCAGCCATTTGTCACTCTCCCTGGCTACAGCAGGCCCTTTGCCACTTGCTTTATTTGTCTCCTAGCTCTGACGTGGCATCAGACAGGTGTTAAACTACTTAATCACTTTAAAATTGTTTTAATTTTCTGTTTTGTATTGATCTCCACAGCACCAATTAATCAGCTCACTGGACCAGGCAGTTAGTACATTAAAAATTGTCAGCCACGCTGGGCAGCTTAGAAAATGTTAAAAAAATATCCCGACAGCAGCCCCTCACTTCTCCCACCGTGTGGAACCTGCTCCTGCTGAGCACTGGCTCTGCCCACAGATGGTGAAAACCTCTCCCAGCCCTGCCACCAGCCCCAGGCACCGCGCTGCCGTGGGACCTGGCATCCCACATCCCTGCAAAGGGTCCATTGGCTCTGCCCCTCAACCCTCCTGGCACCTGCCCCATGAAGGCAGTGAAGGGGCTGCATGGCTGGGGGGCAGTGTGACGAGCCCCGTGCTCGCTGAGGAGCTGGACAGGCACCTGTGCAGGGAGAATATCTCCTGAGCCCTGGAAAAGTGCTGCCGGGCAGTCAGGGCTCCTGGCAAAGTGCCCCCAGCCCAGTGACAGATTGGAGAGGACTCGAAGCCCCGTGTGGGCCTTGGGGCCTGGGCAGGAGGGTTGCACAGCCATGGTCTGCAGCCACACACCACAAGGCCAGTGCTCAGGGCCTTCGACTGTCCCAGGCGTGGACTTGGCCACCAGCCTGGCACAGGTACTGCCTGGGGCCGCAGGAAAGGACATCCCTTCCCTGTGCCTGCCCCTTCCGTGCCTGTGCCACCCCGCTAATCAGTGCCTGATGGGCCGGCAGCACCTTATCTCCTATCGATTTCCTCCCAAGACACAGACCGTGTATTTGCTCACACCTGGCTGGCACTGAATTGGCTCTTGGCTGAACAACTGCCGAGCTTGCCGGGCCCCCAGCACTGTGCCTGTGCCAGCAGGAGCCCCTCTGGCACCTGGGGACAGCCGGCCCCCCACAGCACCCACCACTGGCACGCAGGGGCTGAGCCCTGGGCAGCCAGAGCAGGGGGTGTGCAGGCCCACGGGTGTGGATGTGCAGCCCCCACTGCACAGGGCTGCAGCACGGAGGGGGGGACCCACCAGGCTGGCAGGCAAACACAGCAGGGCCATTGACGCCACATCAATCCTGCAGCCCCGACAGGTGAATGGGCTCTCACTCACAGCACCAAGATAAATGATATTTATTTGCCGCTAAGAGGTTCCAATAAGAGGCCCCAATGAGTGACTTTTGAACCAGCACCTCTTGCTGCTGGTGCACACCCAAACCACGGCAAACCCTGGGAAAGGTCCCCAGGGCTGCCCTGCTCCTGTAGGCTCTTCCTGCCCCACACACAGCACCACAGCACAGCCCCTTCCCCTGCCTGGCACACAGACCCTGCCCCACACATCCTATCCCTGACCCTTCTCTGGTCCAGCCTCACAGGGCCACCCTGGACCCCACACCCACGAAACAAGTGCTTGGACTTGAGCGGGACCTTTATTTCATCAGTGCCGACACCACGGCCGTGCCTGACACTGCCCACACGTGCTGCCCCCAGCCCTGCGAGCCACGATCCCCGTCCCGCCGGCAGCTGCCCCCTTCCGACAGCCTGCCGGGGAGGGCAGTCCCCCCAGCAGGATGCGGGTGGCCAGGCCAGTGTCCCCCCAGCCCAGAGGGGCCGGCTGTGCCCACGCTCAGCCGCTGTGCGAGCCCAAGCCCAGCATCGAGAAGGCCGCGCGGTGCTTCCTCAGCAGCAGCCGGATCTTCTCGTCATCTGAGTCGGGGTCCAGGGGTTTGTTGTACTCATCATCCTCGGTCTCAGAGGCCGCCCGCTCTCCACCAGAGCCCCCCGCCCGCTGCGAGGATGAGGAGGGCTCCAGGGCGCTCTTCTTCCTCCATTTGGTCCGTCGGTTCTGGAACCAGACCTGTCGCCCCACGGGCCCAGCTCGGTGAGCAGCCACCACACTGTGCACCCCGTGCCATGCAGGGACCAGCACTCACCTTCACCTGGGACTCAGTCATGCCGAGAGAATAGGCCAGCCGTGCTCTTTCCGGACCTGCCAAGTACTTGGTCTGCTCAAAAGTCTTCTCCAGAGCAAAGATCTGGTGCCCTGTGAAGGTGGGACGTGTGTGCTTCTTCTTGTGGATGCTGTCAGCCAGGTGAGCAGGGGCTGCAGGAGAGGAGGACAGAAGCAGGTGAGCTCTCTGCAGCCCACGACTCTGGGCAGCTCTCCCCTTCTCCTGAGCACGGCACCAGCCCTCAGTGCCCACAGAGTCCCCCCACACCGGCTCCCCTCCAAATTAAAACCATATTCTGGCTTGAAGGCTTCAGCCCCATCCCAGGAGGGCTGAGCTGACGCTGTGCCAGAGCCAGGCTGTGCAGCTCCTGCTCAAGGACAGCACTGGGAGGTTGTGCTGAGAGGGGAAGGGTCGCTACCACCAGTGCAGGACTCCAGAGCCACGCAGCGCTGGAACACCATGCCCCCACACCCCACACCTTGCAGGACGCAGGACAGAAGACAAGCAGAGCTGGTCATCAGTTCATAGCTGTGCCAGGAGCGGATGGCTGAGCTGCCTGACCCATCTGTTCCAAAAGCATCACCTGGAGAGGGTGGAATGGGACCCTGGCCCTGGCCCAGAGCCTCCCGAACTCCTCATTGTTGGTGCACTCATCCCACCCACCCTCTGGGAGAGCAGCACCATGCCCTGCAGTTCCCCTGCCAGCTCTCCACCAGGCAGGCAGTGCTGCCAGTCCGCAGCCAGCCATCCTGCCTGTCTCTGTTTGCCATCCTGCCTGTCTCTGCACCGAGCTGGACCAGGCACGGGCCCCAGTGATGCTGCTGGAGCAAAGGGGGATCAGTGAGCCAGAGTGCTCTGCCTGTCCGTGCCAGCTGTGGCTGCCTGGGCGCAAAGAGTTAATTTCTGTCATTGGAGCTGCCCCCGCTCTTGAGCCGGAACTTCTGTGACAGTTCGAGGTCCAGCAGCCTTTGGCATCGCGGCCCTTCCCACCGCCCTGGGGCGGCCCGCGGGCTGACCCGCCGTGCCTCGTGCAGGGTGACGGACAAGACGCAGCCCGGGCAGCCGCCCCACGTCTCTGCCCCGGTGCCGACGGGCCCGGGCTCTGCGGGGCACCCCCGCACCCCCGCCCGCCCCCGGCCCGGTACTTACGGCCGCCGCACTGCCGCCCGCCCCGCCACGCCGGGGCCGCCTCGGCCCAGCAGCTCCGGCCCCGCGGCAGGTACTCGCCGCCAGCCTTGGGGAGGGCGCCCACCTGGGGCCCGTAATAGACTCCCGGGGAGCTCAGTCCGTTAAATCCGCCCGCGTGCGGGTACCCGGGCAGGAGGCCGCTGTTGGGCGTCGCCGCGGGCCGGCCGAGGATGTCGGAGATGCCGTGGGGGGTGCCCGCGGCCAGCTGGGCGCCCAGCCCGGGGGGACCCAGCTTGTAGAAGGAGCTCTGCACCGAGTACTGGCAGACGGGCGCCTTGGCCTCGGGGAAGGGGCCCAGCGAGGGGCCGTTGAGGAGGAAGGTGCCCGGCAGGTTGGCGTCCATGGCTCCGGCACCGAGGCGGCCCTCAGAGCCCGGACCCCCGGAGGTGCGACGGCTCGCCCATTCCCACTGGCCTGGGGGCTACTGGGCCCCCGGGGCCCGGCGTGGCCGGGGGTGCCGGGTGGCGCGGGGACCGCGCGGGGCCGGGCAGGGCCGGCGGGCTGGACAGGGCAGGGCAGGACGGGCAGGGCCGGCTGGGCAGGGCCCGGTGCCCCGCGCGGGTCCGGCCCCGGACCCTCCGCTCGGCCCGGGCAGCGCCAACATTTCTGATAAAGCCGGGCTCATTAGCATAGCGCGCTCCCATTGGCCGCGCGGCCGCGGGCGGCGCTCCCATTGGCCGGGCCGCGGCCGCCTCGCCCGCCATTGGCTGCGCCGCGCGGGCCGCGCGCGATTGGCCCCGCCCAGATAAATTGCGCTTTGAACGGCGGCGGGGACGGGATGGGATGCGGGATACAGGGATACAGGGATAGGGGGATACAGGGATACAGGGATACAGGGATAGAGGGATAGAGGGATAGAGGGATAGAGGGATAGAGGGATAGAGGGATAGAGGGATAGAGGGATATAGGGATGGGGATAGGGTACGGGGGTATAGGGATGGGATATAGGGACGCGGTACAAGGATATAGGGATGGGGTACGGGGATATGGGGATGCGGGCACGGTACGGGACAGGACAGGATACGGCGATACGGGCACGGGACGGGATATAACAACGGGATACGGGAATGGGATACGGGGTCGGGATAGAGGGACGGAATACGGGAGGGGGTGGGATACGGGGCCGGAGTGCGGGGCGGAGCGGACGCTGGACAGCGCCGGGCGGGCCGGGGCTCCCGCTGCCCCCGGGGGCACCGCCGGCACCGGCTGCGCTGCCGCTTCCACCCCACCCACCGCGGCAGAGGCCGCTCGGAGCGCGCCCGGTCCCGCTCCCCTCGAATCCCCCGCGAACCGCAGGGCACGAACAGCCGCCACCGCCACGGGGGGTGCGGGCAGAAGGGACCCCCCCGGGGTCTCCACCTTCCCCCACCTTTGGAAGAGCAGAGACGAGACACGGTCTGTGTTGGTTTCTTTATTAATTCATAGTCCGATAGCTGGTGTACAGGGAAATGATCTATACATCAGGGGCTAAGACAGGGAGATCCAAAAGGCTTGTTTTCATAACAATTAAAAAAAGAAAATAAAAGTAATTTTTAAAACTCTAAAAAGCTTCTAGTGTGCAGACTGCAGCATTCTCTAGGCTCAATGTTGGGTGCAGCCTCCCCCTACCAGCCCTACAAGCAATCTGAGCGCGAAGCAATGTCACTGCAGGTGCCTGGCACGGTTCAGCACAGCACATTCCCTACGGCATACACAAGGCCAAAGCACTGGACCCACACACAACTCTATGGTGATGCTACGGAGTCAGCTGTCGCAGTGGGTCTAGGGAGGTTATTGTACGCAGCGAGGGTGATGGATGGAGAGACTGTGCCTATATGGCTCAACTTTGGGGTGGGGAAGGGGCTGCTTTGCTCTCCAAGGCTAAGCTGGGTCAGTTGCTTTGCTGCAGTGAGGCTTCTTCGTGGCTGCAGGGCAGCCAGGGGCTCTCCCAGCAGATGTGCACCCACTGCGAGGCAGGGCTGCCCTGCCAAGGCCACCATCACATGGCCTGAAGCTGGAGGTGGGCTCGTTCTGCACGTGGCCATAGAGAGCAAACTCAGACTCTGCAAAGCATGTCCATGGCCACCTCCAGGGGAAAGAGCAGGGGGTCTCCATACCACTGTGCTACAAAGGCCAGGCCCCCACGTCAGTCAGGTAAAGGACAGGGTTGGGGACCTGGGACCTACTGCCACCACCTGCATCCTGCACTCCTGGGGTCAGTATTGCAACAGGTTCAATCCATTGCCCACCCCCGAGCTGCCTGGGCAGCTCTGCCCAGTGCTGCTCTCCTGCCAGAGCAGCTGCCGGGGCTGCCCCGGCCCCACGGTGACCTCTGGGCTCGGGCTGCTGCCACAGCACCTTCCCCTTGGCCAAAATGCTGCTACTGGGGCAGCAGCCCCCATGTCTCTGGGATTGGTCCCGGGAGGGTCAGCATCCAGGGGTCACTGGGCTATATCCTCCCTTGCAGGTAGGCCAGGGTCCCTGCAGAGCCCTTGCCTGGGTGCGTAGTGCAGGGCTGCTGGCTCCTGCCAGCTCCTGGCTCATCTCCTGAGCAGATATTGTGCTGAGTAGAGCTAGGCACGACCCCGTGCGTGGCACAAGCACCCCCTGCTCTGTCTCACTACTCATCCTCCATGGGCCCCAAGCACCTCAACACAGGCCTACAGCTTCAACCCAGCTGGAACCAACACAAACTGGGGCTGCACCACGGACAGACCCATGGGACTGCACCTCTAGGCCCCCCTCTTCAGGCCAGGAAGGGGCCAGGCTCAGGCAGAGGAGCACAGGGCAGGGGCAGACCCTCTCACTGCTGTAGCCTCCCTGCTCCATTCACCAGAGCTGCTCACACGCTCCAGAGGTTTTGCCTGTCCTGCAGCCTGAAGAGGTATTTGGGAGCAGAGCTGTTAGTGCTTTGTACATACTGCTAGAGTGTCCCTAGGGGTTTGCATAGTATTTATCAGTTCATATACACAAGGCTGATTGCTGTACAGTTTACACTTTCAACACAAGTAACGAGCTCAGTGCTCAGCCCAGAGCCCTGCCCTGGCGGGAGACGTTGCACGTGCTGGGGAGAGGAAGGGCAGCCCTGCACTCGTCCCTCTGCCCAGGGCAGCCCTGCAGCCTCCCCTCACACCCCCTGCCACTGCTGCCCTCCCCAAAACCCAGCACTCACTGAGAGGGATGAGAAGTGAGTCCAGCAGAGGCAGCAGAGGCACTGGGGGGGCCAAGCACCTCTTCTCCCGTGGTGAGCAGTGCCATGCTGCCCCAGCTTCCCTCCTGCAGCTGGAGCACGGACGTGGGGATGCATCTACACACGCAATCACACCAGGGTGGAATCTCCTTCCCCCTCGTTGTCTTCTAGTCCAGCTCTTGCCTCGCAGAGGAGCTGAGAGGATGCCCCTGGTGTGTGCTGCTGTCCCTGGGCTCCTGGCAGCAGCGGGGCAGGGACGGAGGCCCCGTCAGTTTGAAGTACTGTAGCTCATGCGTCTTGCAGTCAGTCAGTCATGCGGATAGGACGGTAAGTATGTCTCATACAGAAATCATGCCATTAGCCTATAGAAACATGTACAGCCAGCCCTGCTCCCCTCCACTCTCTGCTCTCCTCTCCTCTCTTCTCAGGTATGTGTCAGAACGTGTGTGGAGTTCAGTGGTTTGGTGTTGAGGTGCGATCCTGGAGAGACACATACAGAGAGATGGGGTTACCGGGCGTTCCTGGTGGCACAGCCAGGAGAAGGGCTGAGGGCAGCCAGGCACGTGGCTGGGAAGCCCCTTCTGCACGCTGTGCTCAGCCCACATGCACCCATTCTGCCCAGCAACCACAAGACAAGTTTTGGGGAGCATCAGAGAGACGGTGACAGAGCCCCAGTAAGTGGCCTGCCTGGAACCAGGAGCAGTGACACAGATGGCATTGGTGAGAGAACAGCAAGCAGGGGCTGAGCAGCACCAACAGCAACATGGCACTGGGAAGGAGCTGGCAGGGCTGCTCTAGGCTCTAGGATGGAGGAGGCCAGCCTTGAGCCCCCAGCCTCAACTGGGGTGACTGACTGCACCCCACTGTCCCAGCAGTGAGGAAGACCCCATACATCCCCCATGCATACTCTGGGCCACTTTGACACATGACAGAAAATAGCAAAAGCAAAGCAGCAGGAGCAGTGCCCCAGAGAGAGGCAGAGCCAAGGACTGTCTGGGGAGTGGGGCAGACAGAGAGGATGAGGATGGGTCTGCATGAACCTGTGCTCACAAACACAAGCCTCTTCACTGTCACGCACTCACAGAGAGCCCACTAACAGAGTGGAGAGAGCAGGGAGAGGGAGCACAGACAGACCCATGCATGTAGAGCAGAGGACCAACTGCCCCTGCTGAGCAGCCTCCTCCCAGGCCCAGGCAGTGCTGGGCAGCTGGGGAGCACTCGTGCAACACCTTCCCCAGCACTGCACTGACAGCCCTGAGGTGAGTGTGCAGAGCACAGTGATGCAGCTGCCCAAGTGTGCTGTGCCAAGCACCCTGCCTCAGCCTGCTCCAGACCCACCCCACATTCCCTGCAGGGGGAGCAGGGAATAACTCTGAACTCACACTGCGGATCAATGGAAGAAATGTCCCAGGCCAAAGGCAGGGGCTCTGCCTCAGCCCCTACAAGGGTCATGTTCCTGCACCTGCCACTCCTGCATCCCTACTGCCCTGCCATCCACCAGCAGCACCCTGCCATGGCCTGCACCCCCATCCTGGCTTCAGTGCCCCTCACTGTGGCTGCAGTGGGGTGCTGTGCACACAGCTGGCTGAGGCATCGAGGCACCCCGTGCCCACAGCACCCAGGAGCAGGTCAGCAGCAGGGGCACCCCACTGCCCACCCTCAGCACTTTGCTGCAGCACAGCAACCCCTCTCTGCAGGCCAAGAGCTGGGCACAGCCATGTTACACTTCCCCAGGAGAATGTGCATGACCAGCAGCTCGGTGCAGGCAGCAGCACAGGCAGAAGGAAGAGCAAAGGTGGGGTTACCTCAAAAGAGGCCATTTGAGGGGTCACTGCTTCCCCCTTTTCAGGCTGGCTCGTTTCACTATCTGAGCCCCCATCCTGCCCCCGGAGACCTCTGGTTTCGGGACACGCACTCGCACCTCCTCCTGAGGGAGCCGCAGGGGCAGGAAGCAGGACATCACCCGGGTGAAGACAGACACACGAAGAGGACAGGAGAGGGAAAGGCAGAGTCAGTTGGCAGAAGACACCAAGCAAGAAGACAGGGCAGTGGGCAATATTTGCCCCTGGAATTCTTAGAGGGGAAACAGGAGAGGAGAGCAGGGCAGAAGAAAGGACAGAGGGTGGCATAATCCCAAAGCCTGAGAGTACTGCAGAGGTGGTGCTGGCCCGGGCAGGCTGCCTGCAAGGCAGGGCTAAGAGCCACACTGTACCTTGGCCCCCAGACCATCCCGGTGCAAGAAGGAGTATTTCATGAAGTGATCATCCTCAGCCTCCAGGTCTTGGGGCTCCCGCAGGGAGCCC